TCTTGATGTCGCGGCCTTGTCTTGACAAAGAGAATCCGCAAATGGATACTTCTCTAAAAGTGTATCAAGGTTGGGTGAAAAGTTTGAGGAGTACGCGTAACTCAAGGAAGCATCATCCTCTTCGACCTTTTCCATTGGTTGGACTCCAAATGCGTCTTCAACCTCCTCTCTTTCTTGGTCATTAATTTCTTCCTCACATTGAATATCAAGCTCGTTCTCTTCCTTAAGTTCGTCTTCCACCACATCAAGGCTCTCTTGTAACTCTACTTTTTGTTGATTGGGAGATATGATGTGTCTCCAAGCAAGTTCTTCAATAGATTGATCTTTGATGTCCTCTTGCTTGCCCACCGTGGAAACTTCTTCCTCATCCTCGCTATCCTTTTCATCATTATCGTCCAAGAGGCGTACTTGTTCGAGTCTCGAACGAATTCGTTCAAGCTCTTTTTGCATGGCTTTCCACCTCTTGTATAATTCTCGTTGTTCATTGAGGAACTTTTGAAAGGAAGGGTTAGATGTCCCTATAGTCTCCACCTTTTCCTCTTCGACCTTTTTCTCTTCTTTGACGGGTAAGGGTCGATTGTGAGAAAGTTGTGCACATACTTGCCCAACAACCTCTCCTAGTCTCTCCATTTTTCGGAGGATCTCCTCTGATGCCCTTCAAAGAGATGAGTCAATAGGGGCGGTTGTTGAAGATTCCACATTGGAGCTCACTTCGGTATTTTGGATGAATTACTCCACCAAAAGCTCCAATTTGCTTTTGGGCTCCAATTGTGGAAGGAAGTTTTCGTGACATGATGACGAGGCTTGATAATCGGGAAAGCCTTCTTGATAATCTTAGAAAGGGGTTGGTTCTTCACACTCGGATCCTTGGCTAGAACCACTACTAGAAGCTTCAAGATGACACCAATTCGACGGTTAGTGATCTCCCCACTTCTCGAACCAATCCTTGGCTAGAACTTAAACACTATCTATAGTCACATAAACAAAAACAACCTATGAAAGCAAAAGTGTGAAAAGAAAAGAAAACAAAAAGAGAACAAACACTTAACACAAGATAACTAGAGGAAACATAACAAAAGAAAGAAGAATACGAGAAATAAAATAAGACATCACAAGCCCAAAACATGAGAAAAAGCGCACCAAAATTTGATGCTACAAAAACATAAAATATGATAACATAATGCCAAACTTGGAACACAACAAATAATTAAATAGTAGTGTTCGGTTTTTCCTAATAGCTTAAGAGTCCCCAACAACGGTGCCATAAACTTGATCGTTCTACGGGGGGATTGAGCTTTAAATTTATAAAGTCGAAGCACACTCTCTAATCAATCCTAATTAAGCCAAGTATAACCTAGCTAGGGTTGTAGTAAAGTGGTTCGGTCGTATTCCAAGGGATCCCTAAGTGTATTATTACTTCGCTCCGAACTAATATCTATTCAGGATGGAACTTCAGTGTCGCGTGCGCGATCTATCTCCTCAGTCAGGATCAGCGTTGCCCGCAAAGAGAGTGAGGAAACTCTCTATAATCCCAACGACACCTCTTTCCAAAGTTCGGGGCCAGTGTGCTCATCTTTGCGGCCATGATCTTTTGGATTTGGCCCGCGAGCTTCCATACGACTTCGCGGCCCATCTTCGCAGTCAGGAACTTGAGCCCTTTAGCTGCGATCTTTGCTTGTCTGGTCCTTCTCCTTGTTTATATACATTTTTTCCCATTTTCTCCCCGTCTTTGCTTGTAATGTCGAATGCATCGCAAAATAGTATAGAAATCGAAAAGGGCATGCAAATGACATTTTGTAAAACAATTAAAGATCATTTTAACACACAATCGCCTAATTACTGCAAGGCAAATAATACCATTTTGGTGTTATCAAAACGCATTTCGATTTGCACGTGGAAAATTCATTGGTGGACCCCCTTCCTTTCCTTCCTTTGTGGTGGATCGACGAGTTCTAAGCACTATCCATTCCATTGAGTAAAGGGAGGATTTGCTAGAGAGATTCGGGCGATTGGTGGCCCCTTCCAGAGTTGCGAATCCTTGCCGCTACATGCTTAAAACTCCTCTAACACTAGTCCTAGTCGTTGTGTTGTTTTCTAGTTGAGACCACACACAAAAATCATATTGCAATAAATTGACAAGGTAATATTTCCTTTTTAAATTAGAAAGGGCATACCCTTTGAAACTAGAATGTATTTTTCTTGATATCTAGCATAATGCATGAACGAATCCTTGAATTAGGTATTCAACTCCAGGGATGAATCGAAAAAGAAATCTTTATGGGTTCTACCTCCTAATTTTTATGATGATAATGAATCTATTTATCAAAGGATCAGAAAAAATGGATTTGGATGTCCCTCGGACACCCCGGGGTCACTCCGGCAACCCTAGGGTCAATTACCCTAGGTCACCTTGTAGTCATTTCGGAAACCATGGGGTCAATCACCTCAAGTCACCTCGATGACTTTGGGGTTGCTTCGGCCACTCCTGGGGTCGGTCACTCCAGTCACCTCGGTAAACTTGGGGTCATCTTGGCCACCCCCAGGGGTCAATCATCCCGGGTCACCTAAGATACTCTATGGTTACTCCGGCCACCCCCGGGGTCAACCACCCCAGGTCACATCAACCACCTTGGGCTCACTCCGCCCTCCCCAGGTCACTTAGCACCCTTGCGCACGTACCCACGTGACATGTCCTCTCTTTTTACCACCGAACTTCAGAGGGAGACAAGTACCCCTTTCATGTTCCCCTAGATGCCTCCATAAATGGCCCATTTGTTTCCAGATTGAAGAAAAAATCATCTTGCCTAGACTCGTGAACTCTTGCTATGATTAGCGCAAATATTCATTCTTAACCCCATTCACTAATGTTTCTTTTCGATTTCATATTCCTCTCCCCTCAAATCACTCACTAACTTGAGCGTCAGAGAGTGTTCCCGTTGAGATCGCTCGATCGACTTTTTTTCATGAGACAATTGGAGATGACATCACGAGAGAAGTTAAAGGTGAAAGGTTACCGTTAACCAACTCTGGTGCCCAACATAAAAAATACTCGATGTCGGCTACAAACCTGAGATCAACAATTGAAGAAAGCCTAGAACAATCTCAAAGCTCCCTATACCCCCGAACCAATGGCAGAGTTCGAGACAAAGAGCTAGGCCCTCCACTGTTCGTCAAAGATCTTCATGTCCAAATTGAGCAGTTGAAAGCTCAAATCCAAACATTAGCATCCGCACCTCCTCCACCCCATTGGTTGAATGCGAGCTCCAGCCACCACCCGGAGACCGTTGGAGGGTAAGCTCACCTCAATGGGACGTCAACCCCTCATCCACCTCCACAACCAGGAGATCTCTCGTACCTTGAGGCCCACCAGACTTCCAGTTTCATGGTTGAGCCTGGGCACGGAAAGCCTTTGGCCCGCTCAATTCTAGACCAGCCCAACCCCCAAACTTCCAAATGCCTCATCACCTTCCAGAATACTACTGTAGTTTTGACCCGGAGGATCACCTCAGTGCCTTCTAGATTTTGTTGCCTTTGATGGGAGCATCTGACGCTACTATGTGAAAACTTTTCCCTACCACCCTTCAGGGAGTGGCATTTCTAGTGGTACACTCAATTGCGAAATGGAAAAATCACCAACTTTGAAGAGTTCGCCACCATCTTTCGAGGCAAGTTATTTGCCTAGAAACGGCCAAATGTGGACGTCTTTCGCTTCATGAGCACAAAACAAAGATAATATGAGACCCTCAAGGAGTACTACTCTTGATTTAACACAATTTTTGTTGGGGTTACCAACCTCACCACAGAAAATGCAACTCATACCCTCGTATTTGGAATGAACAATTCCCTTCTCAAGGCGTCACTTATAAAATGACGGCCCCACAACAAGATGGATCTCTAGGAACGGGTGTCCAAATACATCTTCTTTGATGAAACCTTACAAGTGGCGGCTCCTCCCAAACGTGCTCGATCACTGCAAAAAAGGAAATGAGAATCCCCACCTCATCATCATCCAAATTCACCAAAGTCATGCAACCACCAAGAAGGCCGCTCTATGCTTGGCCAGAGCAAGGGGCTCAGCGGGAGAGACGTCAGGAAGAGTCAACCATTAAGCCCGACTGGTCTTTCACCTCGCTAACATAGCCCAACAAGACCATTTTCCAAATAATCCAGGAGACGAAGATCATCATATCATCGCCAAATCCCATAACCAAAGAACTTCGGAAAGGGAAACCTAAGTACTGTGATTCCCACTGAGGATATGGCCATGACACTGAGTGATGTTGGACATTTAAAAACTACATCGGAGACCTAGTATAGGAAGAGTACTTTAAGAAATACGTTGGGGAACCAACGAATCACCCTCAAGAAGCAGCACCAGTAAATCGAGCGAAGGCCCACAAGGTGGTGGGATACTCAGGGTTCATGGACGTCATCTATGAGGGCATTGGCTTGAGCAACGGTAATGGAATACCAATCCCAACCTATGGTCAAGATGGTGTGGTCAAAAATATCTATCGCGGGGACTCCCACAATTTCCTTTGATGTCAAAGACTTAGATGGAGTCACCTACCCCCATCACGACTCGCTTGTGATTGAGGCAGCGATAGCCGACGACAAGGTCAAACAAATATTGGTGGATGGAGGTAGCTCAATAGACCTCATGTTTTACCCTGCTTAACTCTCCCTTGGGTGCCGCCATGATCAATGTCGGTCCGCCAAAATTTGCTTGGCGGTTTCTCTGGAACTCAGGTGCCCATAATTAGGACACTCCCACTACGTATTCCTGCCAGGGAAGGTGACCATCATCAACTTTCTCATTGTAGATTTCCCGTCAGTATACCATTGCATCCTTAGGCAACCTTTTATGCATCAACTTCGGGCAGTCCCCTCCACATTCCACCTCCGCCTTAAGTTTCTAGCAAACACTGGCATAGGATGTGTTCAAGGAGATCAAGCCCTGGCCAAACTTTGTTGCACGCTTTCTTTACAAAAAAAAAGCGATGGTCAACATTTACGCCCGAGAAGAAGGCATATGTCCTTTCCCATTGACCTCGATGAGGATTTCCTTATTTCTGAGGGGCACACTGTCCATGTATCTTCAACATGGCCTCGTGAGACACTTCAATCTCTCTGGATACTGCTCCAAGATTTTAAAGAGGTTTTTGCTTAGATGCCAAAGGACATCCCCTACGTCGATCGCCAGGTGGCAGAGCATGCACTTGGGATTGCACCTGGTAGTCGCCCCATCCAAAAGAATCGATGCAATTTTTCTTGGGAAAGACGTAAAGCAGTGGAAGAAGAAGTCTCTAGACTTCTCAAAGCAGATTCATCCAGGAAGTTCTCTATCCAACATGGCTTGCAGTCACAGTGGAGAAGGAAAATGGCTAGTGGCGAATGCGCATTGACTTTGCGGACCTCAACAAGACGTGCCCTAAAGACCCTTATCCTTTCCCAATGATTGACCAGTTGGTCGATGCCACCGCCAGCCACCAATTTCTCAAATTTTTGGACATGTTCTCAGGCTATCATCAAATATCCATGAGAAAGGGGGACAAGAGAAAACTACATTCACGACACCTATGGGCATTTATGGCTACTGGGTGATGTATTTTGGGCTAAAAAATGTCGGTGCCATGTACCAACGAATGGTGAACTACATTTTTTCCTGCCAACTTGGGAGAATTCTGGAAGGTTATGTGGATGACAACTTGATCAAAACTGGGGGTACAGATGAGCACCTAGAGGACTTAGGGAGTCCCTCACCACTATGTGCATGTATTATCTCCTCCTTAATCCAAAAAAGTTTGTCTTTGGGGCCACAGCTGGGAATTTTCTCGGTTTCATGCCCACTCAAAGCGGTGTCGAGGCCATCCCACATCAAATCAATGACATTCTTCAAATGTCACCACCAACCAAAGGAAGGGAAGTCCAATTTCTTATGGGACGAATCATCGAGGTCAACCAATTCATCGCCCGTTCTGGAGACCGGTGTGCTTTATTCTTTGCTACTCTCAAAAGGGCTAATAAAAAATTTTGTATTGACACCTGAGTGTGAGAAATCATTCGAAGAGCTAAAAAAATTACCTTGTCACCCCTCATATACTCTCCAAACACCCCTGAATAATGAAGTCTGAATAATGAAGTCCTTTATCTTTACATTGTTCTGTCGCCTAGAACGGTTAGTGTAGTCTTAGTTCGAAAAAGACCACGACAAGCGAGAACATCATGTATATTACACAAGCAAAAAACTCCTAGATGCTGAGAGAAGATACACGCTGGTTGAGCAAGATGCACTTGTCGTAGTCGTCACCTCTCAAAAATTGCGCCCTTATTTCCAAAGTCATGCCATCTGTGTCCTAACTAGGGCGGGAAGTTTGGTACCGGTATTTGGGATATACCGAATACCGCACCGAATTAGTCTATATTTGGTATTACCGAATACACGTATTATTTCTTGGGGATTGGGATTGGGATTGGATTTCAATTGTTATTCGGTATTAGGGATTACAGGATTGGGATCAGTATATACTGAAATACCGATCAGTACCGAAATATAAGGTAGTGTGTATTTTATCCATTGGGAAATCGAGCCCACTTTGTCGTACTTTTAGGGGTCGTTTGGATGGATTAATTGACAATGTGGTATTTGTGAAGTTAAATAACTCACTTTTTCTATGTGGTATTTGTGTGTTATTTGAACAAATCAAATTTTAAATAATCTTGTTTGGATGAACTAACATAATGAGTTATTTCATATGTGGTATTCGATTTAAATTACTATAATGTCCTCAAAAATTCATTTGGCAATACCCATCCATCATTTCTTAATCGAACTATTTTTTAACCTCCACAACCACAAAAGACTCCACAAATCAGAACAACACATACTGGATTATTAACAATCCAAACCCACATCAAAATGGCACAATTGAACCATCAACCAACCAATTGAAACCAAGCAAAAAAGGCAAGTGGTGGTGAATAAGAACTCGTTGAGGCTGCAGGTTGCCAACCGCCATTAGCCAACTGAATTGAAAAATCGATGATGCAACAAGCTAAGCTCCGGACTTAGAGATTGGGGAAGGGATATGAAAAACAACATGGTGGGTTCGCAGAGAAAAATAACAACATAAATCAGTCCTCCCTTTCTGGAAAACGAAGAATGACGGGGAATAGAGACATGCAATCTGCCGCCGCCGCCGCCACCTAGAGCCTCCGACCAAAGAAGCAGTGACGAACCCATAAATTTTACATAACGGTGTCCTCTTTCAAAAAATAAAGTAAAATAAAAATAAAAATAAATAAAAAATAAATAATTTTTAAATAAGAAAACACCCAACTTGTACAAGTTAAAAAAAGCCTATGATATATTTTCATATTCTGAAAAAAATTGTAAAGTACACTTGGTGTATACATTGCTCATTCACGAACTGATGCATATTCTACTTATAAATTTGTTCTTGAAGTAACTCAAAACTGAAAAGACACTTTTAGCACTTGTCATACAACTATAAAATCAATACAAATTAAGAGTAGCTTGTAATTAGATTAGATGTTAGGTTTTGAAAATAATTAAAGATAGAGAATAGGATTTTGCTATTACAAGTGTTTAGAATAGAACAACAAAAAAATTATAGCCTAATGGAAATTATATTTATTAATAATTGTAGTGTCCCATCTTTGAATTATCCAAACTACCACTTATATTCTCTTATGCAAACTACAAACCAGAGTAGGATAATTATTTTTTTCAAATATCAGGGTGTTCCGGATTATTAATTATAATTTCTTTTGTCCATACGTAAATTACCATCGAAGGTTGGATAATCGATTTTCTAAAATCTACATGGGTCCGCCCCTGCATACAAGCTACTTTGTCTTCCCGAAATTGTCGTCGCTCATATCACCACGATTCGAGTTGGAGGAAGAATCAACCGCCACCGTACCCCGCGCCGCCTTGGGAGATCCCGTAACCAGCTCCCTGGTCTCCTCCGTCTGGATTTCCATCTATTAGTAGACCCGTCGATTGCACGCCGACAAGGAAACAAAGGGGTAGTGGAAGAAATTGATTCAACGCCGGCGAGGGAAATCGATTCAACACCGAAAGAGAAACAGGGGAAGAGGAAGAAATCGATTCAACGCCGGCAAGGGAAATCAATTCAACACCGAAACGGAAACAAGGGAAGAGGATTTCTTTGGAATCGCCCACCAATGAAAAAGGAGCCTTCTACTTCGTACATCGCCGCAACCCAGAAACATGCAACCTTCTTCGTTCGTCGCCACAATCTAGACTTGACCCTTCAATCTGATCTACTGTTCTCTGGCGAGAAACTTGCGTTGAAACGAATTGAATGCACCTCGACTTCTTTGGACAACGATCACTAAACACGGTTCACACCTCTTCAAACACAATTCGAACAAGGGTGATCGATGTTTACACGACTCTCGAGTCAGATCTACATTAAGTTACTCCTACTCCTATGGAGGTTCAGTGAGAGCTCTAGATCTACTACTACGACTAAAATTGCAAAGGAAAGGATAAAGGGATAAAATTTGACATTGTGTTGTCTAGTGTGAATTTGGCGACTCTCCTCTCTGTCAACTCCTCCTCCTATTTATAGGCTTGAGATGATAATTGTCGTAGAAAACTGTCTTAGAGTAACTTCCAAAAAGAACTGCTTCCCTTCTTTCTCGGACGTGGCTGACGTGTCATTGTACGTGGGATAATCAGCAGTTTCTCCGTTAACCGCCTGCTCTTCATCCTGGAACTGTCGTCTTGTTACTTGCCTCTCCCACATGACTTGCCTTCTTACTTCCAACTTGGTAGCTCAGATCTTGGACATGGTCTCACGACGTGGTCTAGATCTCGCGACCACGTCGAGCTCTAAGTTTGAAGCCAACGTGGTCTAGATCTCATGACCACGTCGAGCTCTAAGTTTGAAGCCAACGTGTTCTAGATCTCATGACCACGTAGAGCCCTAGATTTGAAGCCAACGTGGTCTAGATCTCATGACCACGTAGAGCCCTAGATTTGAAGCCAACGTGGTCTAGATCTCATGACCACGTACAGCTCTAGATTTGATGCCGACACGGTATGGATCTCATGACCACGTCGGGCTCTAAATTTGATGCCGACATGGTCTAGATCTCATGACCACGTCGGGCTCTAAATTTGATGCCGACATGGTCTAGATCTCATGACCACGTCGGGCTCTAAATTTGATGCCGACATGGTCTAAATCTCATGACCACGCCGGGCTTTTCAACTCGCGACGAGACTAGCTCCTTCTTGGAGACTTAGTAGTTTGGGGCTTAAAATTATTATCATGAGGCCCAGTTCAAAGATCATTAATTGTCATTAATGATCTGGCCTTATAAAGATAATAAATGCCTTGTAAATAATCAATGTGGTACAAGATTATTTTTTAGGTGTAAACAAATGCCCCCCAACTACTTAGTGCATAAGAATTATGGACAAAGTAGTTGAACACCACCATGCTAGCGAAAGTAACAAGCTGGCTAAAGTCTACTCAACACCCCTAGTTCGTCTTTAGCCAAAATTTGGCTTTCACGCCAAGCCAACACTGTAGGATGGAGCTCGACGTCAAAACTTGCCTCATGCCTTAGCCAAATTTTTTGGTTTTAATTATCAAGCCAACATAGCCGGATGGAACTCGCCGTCAAGGCTTGTCTCATGCCTTAGCCAAATTTTGGTTTTCAATGATCATGCCAACATGGCCAGATGGAACTCGACGTCAACGACTTGTCCCATGTCTTAGCCAAATTTTGGCTTTTAATGGTCAAGCCACCTAATGCATTCAACGAGACACCAACTTCACTTTATCATCTACACCCTCATTGACATCTCGTACTTGGCCACATGGTTGAGAGAATAACTTAGAATTTTTTGCACCTATTTTGGCATAGATTGGCTCATCCCACCTCGTCGCAAGGCTAGACAGCTCCCTCGCGACAAGTCAAGCCGTCTACTTTTTTGCCTAAGAAAAAATAATGTTCATTTTTATGTTGGTAGAGACATTATGGTCACCACTCCTCTACTACCACTTTCAAGCCATCATGCCCCCCAGGCCGTGGCTACTCGGGACAAGATAACATGGCATGGCCTGATGTATGGCTCATCATGTCAAGCTATCACAATGACTTGGTGGCAAGATCTTCATGTCGAAGTCTAACAACTCCGACTCAAGATTTTCACTTTGATATTTTCCTTCTATCTTTTTCTTTTAGCCATGGTTGGCTACAATATTTTTTTATAACTAATATATAATAAGTATATTATATAAATTTATTTATTTTATATGGAAAGAAGTGACAAATGTCACTGCTCTCCATAGCCTTTTGCAACAATCAATGTACCAAAGGTGTACACCCATTGCCAAGTCCA